TTCCTGAGCCGAGACTCTGCTCTTCAACATAGCTTCATCAGGGGTTCCTCTCTGCCCAGAGGCAGAGAGTTTGACCAGCACGACTGGAGACGAATCTCAAACTGCAGACCAACATACAGTATTTACTATTGTATTTATGTAAACGGGGACATACCCATTATCGTCCGTTGATATGTTACAGCAATAACCCTCACGAAATCCGGCCTCATCATCCGCCTTTCTACTCACGCTTATGAACAGAGATGCCAGGGGACATAATGTGTGGTACTGAACGGAATGTTTGTTTATTGTCACCAGTCTTCATTTATAACACCAAGACAAAATATGTACTGTGACTTTTCATGGCGGCGGTGAACACGGCTCTCCACAACTTCGTCTTTTTATAGTTTTTGTCACTTTGCTAACCCTACCTAATCCATATTCTGTCAACTATTTACATAAGCTTGTTAGGTAGGTTTATAATAGATTTTAACCGTAAGTTCTATGTTAACTGTTTCTTCCGTCGAACTACTCACTCGTGGAATTCTCTTCAGGATTCTTGCTTGGTAATGATATTTCTGGACAAATTTTTGAACTACTCAAGTCTGTTTCGTCAAATCGCGAAATGAGAGTAGTCTTGAATGGCCACTCTTCTAGATCTTTCTATATAAATGCAGGTGCTTTCCCCAGAGCTCTATCCTTCGACGTAAGTTTTTTTTTCTAATTTTCATAAATTACCTTCCTAATACCATCATCTCTCAAATCTGTATCTATGCTGATGACACATCTATTTACTCCTGTATTTATGAAAAAAGGTGGGGGGGCACAGGAGACAAACTTACGGTGGTGGGAAGGTCATTTTTTAACAGTAATCTCAAAACCAACATCGGTAGCATTTTCCTAAATTTAATACACAAACATTTCAGCCATAATCCTTTACTCGACCGAATCTTCAATAAGAACAATATTAAGATTAGTTACAACTGCAATAGAAACCTTGAGCAATATATAGCACTGCATAATAGCGTAACTTTAAAAGAAAACTTAAGCAACCTCAATAGCTATATTAACCATAGAACAAAAGTGTAATTGCCGAAAAGGCATTATCTGCCCAATGAACACCAAATGTATGTATAAATGCGTCATCTACAAGGCTAGCATTAAGTATACTACAACAATAACCCTCTCGACATCCGGCCTCATCATCTGCCTTTCAACTCATACTTATGAAGAGAGATGCACCATACGCCAGGTGATATAATCTGTTTTACTGAACGGGATGTTTATTTATTATCACCCGTCTTCAAATCTAAAGCCGATCATTTTAAAATTGACTGCCACTGGAATGGAATTCCACAAGTGAGAAGTGCGAGAGAAGAAACTGTTAGCATAGAACTTATGCCTGCATCTAGTCAGCTCAACTCTAAATTGATGAGATCTCGACGCCAGTCCAGTACTGTGCTTCAAGAAAGTCTAGACGATCTCCGATTGAATGTGACCCTAGTATTTTGAGGTGACTCACAAGTCGTCTTCGTTGCCCCACTAAAGTAAGTCTGATCGGTTAGATAAGGTTAAGTTGGCCGCTGATATAAAAAAATAACCTACAATCTGTTGTTAAATGGGGCAAGAAGTGACTTGTTAATTGCAAAACCTTCAAAATGAAACAGCCCTCTTTTAACCATCTAAGAGAATAATTTTAGCTTCCATTAGCATGGCTGATGCTAACCTCTAGGAGAGAGTGACTCATTGCACCTTCTTAGACTAACATTTTCAGCTGACATGAAGTAGAAAGATTATATTTAATCAATTGTTAAGTCTGTGGCTAAGAAAATTGGTTAACCTGTGTCGTGCTAGACAATTTTACTCGATAGAATCGATCTTACGTATTTATCAGTCTACCATTCGTCCTTACTTTAAATATTTCTGCCACATTTGGTCTTGTGCTTTGTATATATATATATATATATATATATATATATATATATATATATATATATATATTCTGAGATTCTTGGTAAAATCTAAAGAAGAATCTGCAAGGTTAATAGCCCTGACCTGGCATCTCCTCTTCAGTCCCTTTCACCCCGGCGCAATGTAGCTTCTCTGTGCCTTTTCTCTAAATACTTTTCATGGTAATTTTTAATAATAATAATAATAATAAGAAGAAGAAGAAGAAGAAGGAGAAGAAGAAGAAGAAAAAGAAGAAGCAGAAGAAGAAGATTTACAGCCATATAACGCTGATGCACATGGTACCCGTATGATTACCTAAGTTAAGCAACATCGTGCTTAGTCAGTACCTAGAAGGTCCTGTAAGCTTCGATGTGCAGGTGGTGTAATGTGTAGTGGGCCGCAATTTTTAATCGGAAACCCAAGTTTCAAATCCAGTCGGGTTCGTTTAATTTACTTACGCGCAAAAACCCTTGAGAAAGGCATGAGGCCACCTCTTCTACCCACAGCTATAGATTAATAAGAAGGACTTGTATCGTTAAACCATTATTATCTCCATAAAATTCTTACAATCTAACAATATTAACTGGCTTTAAATAAACCTGCAAATGGATTGATAAGCAGTAAAAAACGAATTATTCAATCAATAAATAATAATAATAATAATAATAATAATAATAATAATTTTATACAGGCTGACAACAGAAACCTCAAAAGCTCCATAATAATTCTAATTATTATCAGCATCATTATTATCGTTCATTTTTGCTGCTGTTATGAAGGCTATCAAATCTCAGTTTTATTTGTAACACATCTATATACGCTCTCCTTACTCCCCACATTGTTGTCTCTCCTTACTCTCCTGTTGTACTCTCCTTTTCATCGACCAGGCCTTTGTTGGCATGGAGAATCGATGAAGTGATCTGGATTCGCTTCCAGGAACAACTAAGTGGAGGAATGAAGGAAGGAAGAATTCAAACTAGGAAGGAAGAATGCGAGGAAGGGAAGAAGAAGGAAGGACGTAAGTGAGATGAATTTAAAGAAGGTATTGACGGATAGGAATGAACGAACGAACAGAGAAAGGAAGAATAGAATATTATCAAGGAATGAACTCTTTAAAGTGGAGGGAAAGAAAGTAAACAAGATGAATGAAAAATTTAATGGAAGGAAAAGAAAAATGAATAAGGAAGGAAGGAAGGATGGAAAGAAAGAGAGAAGGAAATAAACACGGAGAAAATGGAAGAAAAGTAAAGACGGGAATGCAAAGAGGAAGAATGGTAAGAAGGAAGAAATAAAAGGAAAGAAAGAAGGAAGGAAAGAAAAGGACAGCTGGACAGAAGAAAATAAGAAAAAATGGAAGGAAGGAAGGATGTTGCGAAGAAAAAATTACAATAAATAAATAAAGAAAGAAAAAAAAAAGAAAGAAAGAAAGAAAGAAAGGGCAATGACTCACTGAAGAAAGAAAAGCAGGAAAAACGAAGACAAGTCGAAAAGAAAGAAAGAAAGAAAGAGAGAGAGAAAGAAAGAAAGAAAGAAAGAAAGAAAGCAAAGAAAGAAAGAAAGGAAAGAAAGAAAGAAAGAAAGAAAGAAAGAAAGAAAGAAAAGGACTATGACATACTGAAGAAAGAAAGACTGGAAAGAAAGTAAGCAAGTCGAATAGAAAGAAAGAAAGAAAGTAAGAAAGAAAGAAAGAAAGAAAGAAAGAAAGAAAGAAAGAATGAAACAAACAAACAAAGACAGTAAAAGACAATGACTTGTTGAATAAAAAATGCTGGAAACAAAAAAGGCAAGTTGAATAGAAAGAAAGAAAGAAAGAAAGAAAGAAAGGAAGGAAGGAAGGAAGGAAGGAAGGAAGGAAGGAAGCTGCAAGGCGACAAGAACGGAAGGAAGGAATTATAATAGCAAAGGAAGAAATAAATAAAAGAAAGACAAAATGAATAAAAGACAGAAACGAATTCAACAAATTAGACCATAAAGGAGGAGAAATAGTATAAGAGAAGAAAACAAATCGAAGATGGACAAAGTTTGTTTTTAAGCAAAATAAACGATTGCCAGAGACGAAAAGGGAGTCGGGAAGGGAAGTAAGGGTGTGTTATTTTTTTTTTTTTTTCTTTTTGCTGTGGCCTTTGCATTGAAAAGAAATCTCTGAGAATTCTATGAATATCCGATGGTCTTTTCAATATTTTGAATCCGATGTGAGAATGAGATAAGAGAAGTGAAAAGGAAGCATATTGAATAATAATAATAATAATAATAATAATAATAATAATAATAATAATAATAGAAGTACAATGAAGAAGAAACAATTTGAAATCCGAAGGAAGGAAGGAAGGAAGGAAGGAAGGAAGGAAGGAAGGAAGGAAGGAAGGAAGGAAGGAAGGAAAAATTAAATAAGAACAAGAAGAAAATGGGGGAAAAGATGGAGGAAATTTATCAATTAAAATGCCTACCAAAAAGAAAAAAGAAAGAAAGAAAGAACAAAAAAATGACAATGACCAGATAGATGAAGAATGGCTAGAAAGAAAGAAAAGAAAGAAAGAAAGAAAGAAAAGAAAAGAAAGAAAGAAAGAAAGAACAAAAATGACAATGACCAGATAGATGAAGAATGGCTAGAAAGAAAGAAAGAAAGAAAGAAAGAAAGAAAGAAAGAAAGAAAGAAAGAAAGAACAAAAATGACAATGACCAGATAGATGAAGAATGGCTAGAAAGAAAGAAAGAAAGAAAGAAAGAAAGAACAAAAATGACAATGACCAGATAGATGAAGAATGGCTAGAAAGAAAGAAAGAAAGAAAGAAAGAAAAAAAGAAATGACCAGAAATGAAGAATGACCAGATAGATGAAGAAAGAAAGAAAGAAAGAAAGAAAGAAAGAAAGAAAGAAAGAACAAAAATGACAATGACCAGATAGATGAAGAATGGCTAGAAAGAAAGAAAGAAAGAAAGAAAGAAAGAAAGAAAGAAAGAAAGGAACGATTATAAAGGCAACAATTCTAACCGAAAAAATATCTAAAGCAAAGGTAGGCGGAGTTAAATGAACGAAAACTGAGAGCAAGGTGGGAGGTGACGGTGGTAGTT